CTTTTCTGATTAAACCATCTTGAACTAGTTTTCAATGAGCATTATACTGCTCTTCTCCTCAAAGCTGATTATGTTTTGCTGAAGCCAAAACCCTTACTCCAAGAACCACTTTCTTTATTTCTACCTATTCCCTTGAATTACATTTTTACTTGGAAAGCATGTAAGTGCCTCTAACCATTACATGCAAATGAGAACAACTAACACATTCCTTTGTATTATTTCATAAGTGGCATTGTGTTGAATTTTCTCAATTTAGTTTATCAGGACATACATAAAATTTAATAAGTAAAAGTGTGGTGCACAATAGACATGAGGAACCCTGAGTTTTAGTCCTAGGTGTGACATTAAATGACCTCCTGCAAGCTGTATGCCTTTGGGTGGGTCATTTATCTCCTCTGGGTTCCTGCTTCCCCATTGGCAAAATATGGGACCTAGGCTAAAGAATAGCTCTATGTATCTGTACAGTGATTTGATCATTTCTAAAATAATTCTTCATTAGATTACATTGTTCTATACATATTATCTTCATAGTTCCTCTCAGCTATAAAATTCTATGAATGTCAATAGCTCATCAAATCATTTCCTTACCTAGACATGCCAACTGCCAACTCATCACTTTTTCTATGGTCTATCTGCCCATTCATTTGCCATCCATCCCTTCATTCATTTAACAAGCATTTACTGCATGTTACACATATTAGGCCATGTGCTTAAAGACATGGTCCCCACCCTCAGGAATATGCCACCCAAGTGAAGGAGACAGACATTCATGCCACTGATTAAATAAGACCATGAATATATATATATAATCACCAACCTTGACAAATGCCATAAAGGACAAGAGATGCCTTCATAGCAAATAATAGGGGTGATCTGACCTAGATGGGAGCACAGGCTATGAGAAGTTTCCCCAAAGAAAGGCACCTTGAATTGAGAGCTGATGGGTTGGTGGGAGTTGTGTGGATGGAGGGGCCCCCAGACATGGAACAGCAGCAATGTGTTGGGTGGTACTTGTGGCTGCCTCAGGGTAATGTGCCAGAGGGCTTATCAATCAATTCTTCCAAATCCTTGGTGAAAAAAGTTATCATTAGGTCCTCTGCTAACAAGAAGATATTCAGAAACATGAAAAGCAAAAATTCTAAGTTAGATCCCACAGAAAGTCCTCCTGACCATAGGTTTCACCATTTCTCATCTTCTCAAGTCTTCCCGGGCAGCACCTCTCGCTCACTTTAACTTACACCTCGAGGGAGTCACTTGACTTGCCCAGATCTTAGTTTTTTCATCCATCACATAGAAAACTTGGGTTATATACATGATTTCTAAGGGCTCTCTCGTATTTAGCACTTGATGTTCCTATTAATACACCTAAGTTAGTGGAGAGAGAAAGAAGAGGCCATCAATCCACTAGTATTTGTGACTGTATTTAAAAAACAAAAATTAGCAAACATTCATAATACAATGTTGTAGGAATTCTAGCTATTGAAATGGATGTTGGATAGAGCCAAAAATAGCTCATGTATGGAATGCAGGGAAACTACAGTGAAATGTTTCCTTGACAATTGAGGTACTTAAAGGTAAATTAACTCATTTTGATCAAAGACTGGTTTCTTTGCATCTCATCCTTTTTGTGGGTTCTTCAGTTGTAATTCAGTGTAAAGGGAGAAATGGCTGACAAATACATTTCACTAAAAAAAAAGGTCATCCAAAAATATCAAGAAAAGGGTAATCAGATTGAATCCAAACATGCAGATACTCTAATGGGAGAGACGAGCTCCGCCTCCACATGCCCTTGAGTGCCCCGCACATGCCTTAGGTTCATTTCCATCTTAAACTGGCTCCTGTGGATCCCTCAAGCTCTTAAATCACTTGGAGCAGACAACACCCAAATTTACAGGAACCTGACATTTGTCAGTCTGAATGCAAAGCCTTGGATTTCAAACCAGTCAGTTCTTTCCAGAGAAGAAAAAAGGACAATAGCTGCTATTTCTTAGCATGCATAATCAATGCTGCAGGGGTTGCTAGGCAACGGGCAGAAAGACATCCCTGGGTGCCTCCAATGGAAGAAGAGCAGCCCTGGCAGCCACTCCTCAGAGGTGACAGGCTGTGCAGGATCTGGAAGCAGTGTCCAGTTTGTTTCACTCCTCAGAAAAATCCTTTTATTCTAGTTGGGACTGAACCATAGAATCTTCCACCCAGCCTCATTAGATAGCCTTTGAACAGACTTCCAATTGGCCCACAGCCCTAACAATGAGCAGGTCAGGCTGGCAGGCTGGCAAGAGGCAGCTCCATGAAAGGTTGGTTCCTCTGCTATTTTGATCTAATTCACCCTGGAGTCCATGGAGAATTTGACTTGTTCCTGGCATGGCTGCGGCCTCTGGATCCCGGAAAGTTAAAACGGGCATCCTCTTGGAAGCTTGTGATCATGCTAGCAAACATAAGCAAAGCCTCTGATTCCAGCAAAAATGCACATTCAAAGTTAGTGAAATGAGACTTCCTAGGTGTGTGACCTTGAAGTTGGAATGAATTTTTAAGTTGTAGGCATTTTGTCCTCTGCTTGAGATAATAGTTTCACTGGAATTTCAAGAAGGGGACTAGCAAACAGAAGGAGTCAGGATTTTACAAAAGGGCAGATCCATTTGTTTTGTTTTGTTTAGCAATGTTAACTAAAGAACAAACACTCCTCTTAAGTCACTCCTCAAAAGTGCAGACACTTTTTGGCAAATCCAGGAACTGCATGAGGACAAGGCTTTGGGTTTGGGTCAGAGGTATGATCAGGGCCATGACTGGGATTTAAACCAGAGAGAAGTCTCCCTGACCGTGGTGATGAGAGATATGCCCAGCTGGCAGCACGCTATGGGCAGGATAACCAGCTATACATGGCTGTCACAAACTAATCCCTTGTCATTACCAGGCCAAGAACTGATGTGATCTTAGCATGTGTTTGGGAAGAAATGTAACATAGAGCTGACTGTGCCCAGGCTTAGCTATGTAACACCCTTTCCTTAAGGGCACCAGAAGTACAGAGAGGCAAGCACAGAATAAGGAATGATACTAAGGTGAAATGTTATACCAAGAAATTTTGTGCATCTATATATTTGGCTGAGGTCTCTCAGCCACTCCTACGCTGTCACCTAGGATTCCTTAACCTCCCAGGATTTTCTCACATTCAAAGCCTCTCTCACCTTGTGACCCCATGAAGTGAATTCAGAGTCTGAAGGCCTGATTTAGCTCCCTGGTGGCCCCCAAATAGCAGTGGGAAACCTGGGCCCAGAACATAAATCCACAGTGTTCGGTCTCTTTGTCTATAACACATGGCTAGATCAGAATTAGATGTTCCCCAAGCTTCTTCTAGTTCTAACATTTTATCAGTTCTATGAATCTACAAAAATAGAGGCACCTTTTGGTCTTATTTATAAAAAAAAGTTAGCAGAAGAAGAAAGCAAAGACTGAAGATTTAACACTGCCAAATGTTCTGAACATTTTATGTTTTAAAAATAACCAACTTTTTGAGTAAATGAAAGAAGAAGCAATAGCAGGGATTAAACATTTCCAAAGTCACTGAAGAATTCTAACTTCACACCTTAACCCAACTTGACTTCACCTTTCTCTTATGTCTCCTCTCCTCTCTTTTCCCCTCTATCTCACCTCCACCCCATTTGCTCTCTTAGTGGGATAACGTTTATTTGATAGCTATTACATGTATCCTTCCTAGAAAGGTCTGACCTTTATTCACTCCAAAGTGCAGATTTTAGGAGCTTTTTCTGAGAGTCTAGGAGTACTGATGCTGCTTGACTTATTTTTGATGACAAGAAAAGCAAATGCAGTTTTCATTTGAATGGACTTTAACAGAAACTGTGTTTAGTCTGCAGGATGGGTAAGCTCAAGAATAATTTTCTCTCTCCTCAGTTACCCATTTTGTATATACTGAAGTATTTTAATGTAAAGTACAACATTAAATAAAGTAACAACATTCCATAAAGTAATGGAATATACTTTTGATTAAAAAAGTTAAGTTGGCGTGCTATAACTAGTAAACAAATACCATCCATATAAATATTGTGCATTTGGCAGAACAAAGGAACATCCAAACAAAAAACAACCCCAAGTTCAATCATCTTATATTAAGTCAAGAATTCACATATGATTATATCAGCTATGTCCACATTCATTTGCCACTTAATTCATTTTATAAATATTTGCCCCTTTTAAGTGTTTTACATATGTTATTCAATACTTTCATGAGTTTCTCTTAAATTTCAGCAATACATATGTAAAAGATCTACAGAACTTTTTGTGTGATTTTGTTAATTCTTGTGTTTTAGAGAGCTCAGTGGAAATTTTACCCTCTTCAATAATTTTTATCTTATTGAAGATCAGGTCTCTTTTCTGAATTTTTGAGAAAATGGCTATGAGGAAGGAATTTCAGGCTTTCTTGTTTTAGTAAAACCTTGTATCTGCCAGGGAGGCAGAGTCCACAAGAAATGCCATGCACCCCAGGATGCAATCATGCCTGCACTATACGCAGCCCTGGTGCCTTGGACACATGTGGGAGGGACTAGATAAGGAATAACAGATCTCAGCGGAACAGAGGCTGAGAGGGAGTGGACTCCACAGTCTCCCTTCTGGAAAGGCAACATAAGACAAGGTCCAGCTGAGTTGGGCACAAGCACCAAGCAATCTGAGGAGCCGGGTTGCGTCTCCAAGACTTAGCGGTTAAATTCTGTCTGACCCCAATGACCTCCATCCAGAATTAAGTTGAAGTTGACTTGGAAGAGTAGCTCAAGCTAGCCACAGCCTGCAGACTGGTAGACTGCCCCTAAAGGAACCTAAAACAGTTGGATGTGCCCCAAATATCCTTCTCACTGTCCATGTAGTTAAAAGAATTTGAACATATCCTTCATAGCAGACATAATGCTCCTGATTTGGCCACTAAAATCAAGTAACACTTCCACACATTACTGCGACTGTGGATAATAAGACATTCTGGAATGTTCTCTTACCTTCACTGCCACCAAGATCTTGTCCTGCTCAGGACAGAGGTTATAGCATTCAGCTAGGAAAACTTTTCCAAAGGCTCCTTCGCCTAGCTCCCTTTTCAGAACAATGTTATGTCGCTTGATGTGCTGAACAACTGTAAAACAAAGAAAGAATGGAAATTGGAATTGAAGCACACAGAGGTGAAGGCAGAGGGTGGAGGATCAGTGGCCTGTATCCTGAGCTCTTCTCTACACACAGGAGACCAGAGGAGAAGCCCAGTGTCCATGCTCCCTGTCCACCCCAAATAGCTGGGAGGCGGTTGCATCGGCTTGCTCTCCAGAGCTCATTTATTATTTTTGATAGAACTAAAGTGGTGACTTAGCTGTTGGCTGCAGGATGTCATCAGTGGACTTCACAGACTAGGAAAGGGGGAAAATGAGAAAGAAATGGACCTTAATGGCAGGAGTCTTACAAGCCAGATGCTTTGCACACATTTGTTAGTAGTGTCTAGTGGGGAAAGGCAGAGAGACAGTTAGGAATCCGAATCCTTTGTTAAACTGCCTCAGGCTCCTGAGGGAGAGGGGCTCAAAGGACACAAAAGGAAAATACAAGACCTGCATTGTGAATTAAAGCTTTGTCCTCACCCCAGTGCTAGTCTCTTGGTGAGTGGGCTAGACCGTGGTTGATCCTCAGTAATTCTTTTTGTTGGGACCAGAAATTTCCAGGCTGTGCCAAAAGCTGCCTTTCTTAGTCCCTTTCTAAGATCATGCCCTAGGCTTGGCTCTTCAAAACAAAGAAATGCTTCTGGGGAAGAGCGAATATTTCCTTCCTTGGTGTAGAGCAGAGCAGGCCCTTGTCACTCAATCACATTCCTTTCTGGGGAACAAGGCAGGAGGCAGTCAAAGGCCTTTCGAAGCCCATTAGCTGCGAGGTAGAGAGCAGAGCACAGTAGTCCTCAGAACGGGGCTGGTGGAGAAGCCCAAAAGGAGGCCGTAGAAGACAGCACTGCAGTGCAAGCTCATGTCTCTTCACCAGCAATGTCAGTTATGAACTCCCTTAGCACAAGGGGAGCACCAGGACATCAACTGCATTCTTTTCTGAACTCCTCATCCCTAAATGGCCGTATTAAAAAAAGATTGCAGCACTCTCTAGAGCTTGGAATGTGTGGCCAATAGTGTTCTTTCATTTCACTCTCAGGACCCTCATGAAGCAGTGCTCTCTGCAGGAATTCCAATGATCCTGTGTGGGAAGTGAGAAGTTGGGACTTGAACACTGGTCTGTCTGAATGCAGAGTCTATTTTTTTCTCCTACACCACAAAGTTTCTCTTTAATTGCAAATTGTGTTGAGCATGACAAGAGAGATAAAAATATATAAGTAATATAGTAAATAGTCAAAATAATCTCCCTTGCCTCCTCTTTGTTTTGTTTGCCCTGCAAAGGCCAGTTCAAATCCTCACCCTCTCAGAAAGCTTTCCAGGGTGACTCTGATCACCAAAGACCCCCTCTGGATTCAAATTATATCATGGCTTATGCTTAGTTGAATTCTGACTTATCCCTTAACTATTTCACATCTGTAAACTCCCGGAGGTTAAGACGAGCCCTGTCTATCTCCTGTGATCTCCTGTGCTGAGCACAGAGAAAGGATTTGTTACTGTGGTTTAATTGAATAACCTTTCTTTAAATGTTTTTTTTTTACTACAAACTGCATTATAAAAACAAAAGAAAATACAGAGCGTATCTGTGCAGTTTAAATAATGATAATAACATGAATGCCCATAAATCCAAATTTCCATCTAAGAAACAGAGTGTCACTAGTACTCAAAAGCACCACTGTGCTCTTTCTTGACTGTATCCACTTCTCTACTCTCCTCCCAGGGGTAACTACTACACTGAACTTGTGTCAGTCATTTCTTCTATTGTTGCTTACTCATGCTATCTCCTCAACAAGATATTGTTTAGCCTTGCCTGGTTTTGAATCTAGATAAATGGAATCATACTTATGTGTATTCTTCCATATCTCACATCCTTCATTCAACAATGCCCTTCAGATTGAGTTTTATTGAGTTACAATGTGTGTGTAGTAGTGATTCTTTTTTGCTTTTACTACTTTATAATATTTTGTGGAAGAACTGTACCACCATTTGTTTTATCCATTCTATGTTGATGAATATGCTACACAGTTTCTTTTTAGATACAACTTAATATAAAATGCAAGTGGTGATTAAGGTTTTAATTTAATAGGACTTTTCCCCTGGTAATTCATGTGCTTCGAATTAGTGAGGGCTTCCATGGGCCTCTGGAACTCAGGATGATAGAAATCAAAAAGTCTTTTATGAGCAACTATATTAATGACTATAAGAATGTATATTAATTAATATCTCATGCTCTAATAGAAACGCCTGGATTTAATCGGAGAGAAATGTGTTCATTAGGTAGAGTGCCCACATAAAGAGACAAGGGTAATTTTGCAGAGAATTAGCTGCCCTATTTAAATCTACTATTTAACTACATGGTTGTCACATGTTCACTGGGAATTAAATAGCCACTTGATTTACTTTATACTCTCACTAGGTTGAGGCAAGTATTTAACTTTTTTTATTTGATTTACATTTTCTTCTTATTTTTAAAAACGTTTTCCAAGGAGGAGAAAAAGTTGGTGGAAAATAAGTTTATAAAGCTATAGATTAAAAAAAATTTCATCACCTCCAAAACTAAAATGGATGAGACCAGTTTTTTTCATGTTAACTTTGAAAGCATTAAATGCCTCTTTTCTTTAAGAAATTGTAACAGGGTGCAGCCAAGGGGGGCCCACAAATAGAGATTTGTAATGGGGTCCAGAATTCAGGGTATTCAGGAAATATTAGAGAAATATATATATAGGATGTCCTCACACTCACCAAACCAGTCTGAGCTGGGGGATGGGACACATGGAGCAGAGCCATTGAGAGCTGTTTTGCATAGCAACTGGCTTTGCAACTAACCTCTGGCATGGTCATTTAACATATCTATAGCCTTTAACTGGTTTCATAGATACGTTAAATAGCTGTGGCCAAGGGGATGGGGATGACTTCAACCCAGGATGCAACTGGGAAGCAACTCTGCCTGGTTACAGTGCCTGTGAAAGAGCTTGGAGATGATTGGCTCCACACCATGGGTCCATGCCTGCCCAGACTTGTTATGGCAGCCCGGTAAAGCTGGACAAATATGGGAATGCTGGCAGGTATAATTGATTGTGGGAGGAGTAGGAAATGGGGCAGCAGAGGAAGATTGGCTCGAGGATTTAAACCGAGGTGCAGCAGCCATACAGAGAGAGGACCACACGGCTGTGGGAAGAGTTGGAAACACATGGCTTGGGTGAAAGTTAGGACCACCAGCTTTGGGGTGCTCCCTTTTGCCATGTGGCTTAGGCAGCAGGAAAGACTTTTCCTGGAAGAAAGGGGGTAGAAGGACTCTTGCTGGTTGGCCATGAGAAGGTACCACATGGCTTTGGATTAACTGGAGATTGTGGCGGCAACACAGCTGATGATGCTGGGAGCCTGAATCATGGACTTCCACTTTTGTTCCTGAGATATGGTACCCTGGACTGAGCAAAGGAGAGAAGGAAGGACTGTGCACATTTGTGGGTATTCTAAAGAATTTTAGTATTTTAACGAAGATATTAAGTCATTACTCTGAGTCTGTATAACTTTTAAATAAATAATTCCTTTCCCTTTCACCAGTTTCTGGCATTGAGAGAAGTCTTTCCTCTGGTGGTGGGCAAAGTGAACCTACTCCGGTGGGGAACCCATGGAGAAAAAGGAGGGTCCTTTTGGTAATAATATATCACTCACCACCCGCCCCACTCAGTCTGTTCTGTAACAAAAATGGCTATCTTGCATTAATTTACTTTGCTGGTTTGGGAACTAACAGATTGTATGAATGGGGGCCTTTTGCCAATGTATTCCCCCTAAACAGAATTAATCTCTCTTTTATTGTGTAAGATTGAAAGGCATTCAGGGGCATAGGTAACAGTTTACATTTGCATTCCTGACTAGGTGTTACAGTACTTTACAGTTGCTGCTATTAAATATTTGTTGAAATATGTGCTGAATGTTAATAAGACCTCAGGCAAACACTGTTTAATTGTATTATTTCAGTCAATTGACAACAGCTCAATCGAGTATGTAGCAATAAAGTAGCCCAATCCTCTCAGATGTCAGGAGTGGGAATGACAACTACCCTGAGGCAATCACATCACTGAGCTAAGAAATTTTTTTCCATTCTCCTCCAAAGAGCATCAGGACTTGTCCCAACCTGCCGTACTTCCTGTTTCCTGCAATCACCACAGAAAGTCCTTGGTACCATGTTATGGCATCCCTTTTTATCTGCCCTCTCAACCCAGCTTTTCTGGTAAGTGCCCCAGTCTGAGTTGATGTCACCCCTTCACCTCCTTCACAGACTCCTCTGTGGGACTTTCTTGGATTACCACCATTCACCCCTGAGCTCTCCTTAAACTTCCCTTCACCTCCTTGACTCAAGTAAAACCTTGGCTATGCCTGTAAGACATCCATGCTTATTCCCAAACTCACCCTACCACCCTCCCAAACTGAAGCCATCCCCACCCCTTAACCATAAGTATCCCTTGGGCCTGATTCCTGGCTCTTTCTTTCTCCCCTGCCAGACCCCCAGCTATCACAAAGTGCCTGTCTTAGGGAGCCATCAGCCTAAACAACCTCTGCCCCCTCCTTGCTGACATCTGGGTTACTCCTCTCACACACGGAGCTCCTGGCTGACAGGCTCCCTCTTCACCTGCCAGTGCCATCCCTCTCAGGGACTGGGACACAGACAGGTTCTACAACTTGCATAAGCTGTAGAAACACTGGGGTGCCATTTACCCTGCAGTTAAAAGGTGAGGATCTGTGAGGGTTTGGTTTTGCTAGTGCATGGCAATAAAATGACTTGATAGAAGCAAGACTTTCTTAATGAAGGAAGCAATACGCTGATTCCAGACAAGCTCCTTATTTCATTGTGGACTAGCACTAAGGATTCCACAATAAATAAGCTGTCAGGTAAGCATGAAAAGTTTTTATGTACTTCCTTTCCCTGAGGTCAGACAGTTCCCTATTTTGAACTTTAGAGACTTAATTAAAATCATCCAAACCCAGAGGAATAACT